ATCCATCCATCCATCCATCCATCCATTTATCCATCCAACCATCCATCTATACATCAATCCATCCATCCATCTGTCAATTAATACATCCATCCATCTATCTATATATATCCATCCCTCCATCTTTCCATCCATCCAATCATCCGTCCATCAGTCTTTACACTTTAATAATAAACACTTCACCTCTGTTCCCTTTGGTCCTGGTGGTCCCTGAGGGCCCCGAGCTCCTTGAATACCCTTAACACACACACACACATACACACACACACACACACACACACACACACACACACACACACACACACACAGTAAATATCTACAGTGTTTTGGAGGAGGAAATGTTAATAATGTTCATTTGTGTCTGTACCTTTGGGCCCGGGGGTCCGTTGTGTCCTGGAGCCCCGATGTCTCCTGGAAAGCCCTGCAGATGAACAGAAATGCATTACAGCTTCACCTTACATTCACCTTTCAAGGAGACGAACGTCTGCTCTACCTCTGCCTCTCAGCTCCACCCACCTGTCACCAGGCTACGCCCACAGGCTATATATGAGGGCCAGGCCGGGTTTAGTCTTGATTTAAAACTTTATATTTATGGGAAAGAGGTTTCACCAGTGTGTTCTCAGCAGAAATGTTCAGCTGGAGTCCTTTATTACTGTGATAAAAAAATCACATCATCTTTTACTGCGAAATGCAAATTAAAATATTATTTTTAATATGAAAAATTATAATTATTATAAAAAATTATTAACATTAATTTTTTAATGAAATTACTATTTTATTGAATAAAATAAAGACATTTATAGTTATTGTCATCAATTATTATCCGACTATTAATTATTTATACTATATTATTTCAAAAATCTAATTATTATTATTAGAGTACAGTTATTGATAATAATAACAATAATAAAATAAATAATAATAATAACAATAATACAATTATTAATATTATTAATAATAATAATAATAATAATAATAATAATAATAATAATAATAATAATAATAACAATAATGATTAAAATAATAATAATAATAATAATAAAATTTATAATAATAATAATAATAATAATAATAATAATAATAATAGAATTTATAATAATAAAAACAACACAGATATTTTTATTATACCTTTGTTATGAATTCTAAAATAATGTAAATGTTAAGGAATGTAAATTATTTGAAAGTGTAAAAAAGAATCATTAATTATAATAAATAATATTAAGCATTTTATATTAGTATAACCATGATACAATCAACAATAAAGACTCCTAATAATAACAATAAGCAATATTATAATAAATATATTATACATTTTATTTACATAAATGATATTTTAACCAAATATTTCTATTTTACCAATAATAAAAATATTTAATAACAACAAGTATTATTGTTATCATTATATCATTATCATTATTGTTTTTTTAGCATTTACCCTCAATTCAGTAATATTGCTGTAAATTACTACTTACATAATCATATAGAAAAAGATATAAATATCAGTAAACAAATATTATTATTGATTAAACAAGTGTGCCAGAAATATTTAATAATCAAATAATGATGATGCTTAACATTTAATTTGACAGCATTTCCCTCCAAATATTAGTTCACATTAAGTTGAACTAGCAGAGCAGAGCCACTAGAGGGCTGGCTGGTTCATTACACTAACACAACAATAGATTAAACACTGGATAATATTCACACATAAAAGGAACCACAATCATATCTGCAAACACACAAAATAACACAAACAACAGCAAGAAGAGTCTTCCAGAAACACACACTTCAGCTCATTCACTGACGCCTGTAAACAGCTGTAGTCTGATGGAGGTTTTGTTGCAATAAACTGGTTTTTACATCTGATAGCCACATGCCACTGCCATTGACATCAATGAGAATGCTAACGGCTAACCTTCTCCAGCTATTATAAAGCTCTGCTACATATTAAACCCAAACAGACTGCAAACCAAAGCACAAAATCCACAAACATTCATGTGTCAAAACGTCTATAAATCTTTTATATGTTGCGTGTTTGTTTATGAAGCGTTTAAAAACAGAGCTGTGTTGGGCTCGGAGGATGCTAATCCACTACATAAGCACATCTGCTCATATTCGTTCAACTTATATTAAAGCGTTTAACTACAGATACTATTGAGGGAGAACTACATTACCCATGATGCTGTGCAGGAAATCAACCAATTAGACAGCTGCAGTTACAAAAGTTCACTAAAAAGACCTTTAACTCCGCCCACTGCCATGAAGCCCTGATAATAATGGGGTGTGTGTGTGTATATACACAGCTGAAGTCAATTATTCACCCCCCCCCCCCCTCAGGTTTTCCTGAGTAGAGTTGGCTTAATCCATTAAGGCATCATGCTACAGTACCAAACACATGCTCACAGCTCATTTCATAAAGGGGTACAGAAACTGAAGTAAAACGCAACCAGGCATCTCCAGCTCTGCTCATGTACCACCTCTTCGTCCATTCCTGAATATGCATGAGTATCAACACAACAGGCTCCGCCCACTAACCTCTTCACAAACCTACAGGTGACGATTTGCTTATCTGCCTATAATCATTGAACCAAGACTTTTTAGAATCGCAATGAGAACAAGGAGAATGTAAACCTTTACCCAGACGTTACACATGTGAAGTAATGAGAAAGAACAATTCACTGTATTCTATATCACTCCGCTGCTCATCCGTTTGCACTGGCTGCCAGTTGCTGCTCGCATCAAATTCAGAGCTCTGATGTTTGCTTACAAAGCGACTTCTGGCTTTGCTCCTTCTTATCTGCTCTCACTTCTGCAGATGTATGTGCCCTCCAGAAACTTGCGTTCTGTGAATGAACGTCGCCTCGTGGTTCCATCCCAAAGAGGGAAGAAATCACTTTCCCGAACTCTCGCATTCAATCTGCCCAGTTGGTGGAATGAACTCCCTAACTGCATCAGAACAGCAGAGTCACTCGCTGTCTTCAAGAAACGACTAAAAACTCAACTATTTAGTCTCCACTTCACTTCCTAACCTGCAATTGCCTCTCTGACTC